CGGTTGTTCGATACGCGATCGATCAATTACACTCGAGGACGAACGCCTTTGTGTACAGCTGTCTACCCGCGACCTCGGAACCAGGTAATCTAGCACTTTCCACTTTTCCGAACCCGTTGAATACTTGCCAGCCAGGGCCAGAATATCAGTGGCTACTTTACTGTATAAGATCCATATAATCATAGCCAGAGTAGAACTCTTCAAAATCCACACTCGCCCAATTTCGTACTATTGCAGTATCATTTGTTGCAGCATGAGGGAACCATGCAATCTATAAAAAACATACAGAGGTTATTTACTAAACGTCTGTTAGGCAAAGCTTCCACTAAGAACTATCGGGAGTGCTGCCAACAATTCCAGCTCGCTTCGGTAGGGTTACGAAGATTGAGGCATAACCTGATGCATCAGTACAACGTGCTTCATCAAAACGCCCACTGTTATTTGCCTTTCTTGAAGTGCAGCATAGTTCGACAAGAGAATTTTGCAATCGGGAGTTTACCCTGAGTGTAACCCGGTGCAGGATAAATCTGCGGCTCAACATTTTTTCCTATCAGATTTACTGTCCTGTGGGATAAGCTCCCAGTCACAATCAGATCGTGTGGAAGCGCAACGGCCTTTCGCGTAAAGCTCGCCAATAACCTAGGCTTGAACACGATTATAACTCTGTTCTCTTAGGACAGATCTTTTGGTGAGTTGCTCCAGAAAACATCTGATGGGTGAAACCAATTTGCACAGTGTCGTACACTCCTAATGCTATTATTATCCCCTAATCCAACTAGTTCATACTGAGTTGAAACAAACCTGTGAGTCAAAACACACCTATGAAATATCAGACAATACAGTATATTGGAATAGGTTTGGAACCGACTGTGATTTCATGATTTCAGAAGGTTTTGTATACAAATCGGTTTTGGTAGAGTTTTATTGTGGCAACGTTTCGCCCTTGACACAAGAGCTTCTTCGGGCCAGGTGAATTGGTACAAAATTTGTACCAATTCACCTGGCCTGAAGAAGCTCTTGTGTCAAGGGCGAAACGTTGCCACAATAAAACTCTACCAAAACCGATTTGTATACAAAACCTTCTGAAATCAGACAATACAAATTACAAAACTGTTTGCTACTCATGCATGAGCAAAACATTTTCTGTAAAATAAATGATCTGTGTCAAATACGAAGAGTTTCTAACTAGATGAGAAATATACCTATTATTAATCTTAGTATTATTTGCGTTCAACCACCACGCATTGGACGTGTTCGGTGCCTTTTATGTGGCACAAAATGAACGAATGAATAGCCCAGCATCGTTACTTCGCACAGACTCCGGTGAC